GTAATAACAATAAGTAAACTAAAAAAAAAAAAAAAAAAAAAAAAAAATAAAAAGATATAAAGATAAAATATAGAAGAGAAAGGATTTTTAGATAAGCATAAGTTGTACAATGTTATTGAATTATACGAAAATTTCATCGATGATGGACTTTCTATCGCTAATTATTAATTGATTTTTCGTGTGATTGATTTTTATCTTTTTTCTATCGTATCAATTAATTTAAACTACCCATGATCGAAACTTTTTCGTACGAAAGCGTATCCTTATTTTTCGATTTGTGAAAATTACGTCACCGATTTGATGAACCGCGTTTAGCGAATGACACAAAAGCGTGAGAAGCGAGCAAATCAAACGAACAATTATCACTGTAACTACTATTAGCGTCGTTGTAAAAAAAAAAAAAAAAAAAGTAATAATAATAATAAAGAACTGAAGAAAGAAAATGGTAAATAAAAAAAGAGGAAAAGTGACGCGAATGTGAAGAGTGTGTCTGCGTATCGAGATTCTATTCTTGAGTGGCATAGCCACGTGCGGAAGGAAGAAGGCCGTGATAAAATCGCGATTGTTTCCTCTCTGTTTTGGAACGATCGCTGTGAAACGACGTGGCCATCGTGCCATTGGTTGAAATTGTATTCAAGTCGGTGGTGTGGCGTTTCGAAGCATTGTGTCGATCGTAGTATCGATAAAATAAATTGATATCCTGTAAAGTACCGTACCGAAAATTATTCTTGTCGTTTCTTTGTTACTTTACCCTTTGATGATTTTAACACAATTGATCTGAAGATAAGTTACTTTTCAAATAAATATATATTATTATATCTATTTTTTATAGATAAATAGATATCGATATATTTACTCGTTACAAGCGAATAGATGTTGTGTGTTTAAATATATTAATTGGTGATTAGACGATTATTTTGTCTAAATTAAGAAAAAATGAAATATCTGGGTATAATTTTTAATAGAAACACTGACGTAGAAAAAGAAAGCAGAAAGGTTTGATATTGATTAAAAGTTCGATTAATATCCGGTGAGTTCAGCGAACGTGGAGTCCATATCGTCGCAGATATATTTGTATTTCTCTTTCTCTCTAAATAGAAAGTCTGAAAGATGCGAAAGCACGATTGTAAATACGCAGAAAAGAAAAGGTTTGATCGGGAAATATAGAAAAAAAAAAAAAAAAACGAAAATATACCTTCTCTCGCATCCAATTCTTTCGAGAACATTTTCACCATTTTTTCCGCAATGATGGCTCTTTTTTCAGCAGTTTTCAGTTTCACTTTCAAGTCCTTCAACTGTGTTTTAAATTCCTCTACCCTTTGATTAGCCTACGAAAATATCATGTTAACAAAACTATATATCGACGAACGATAAATAAGATTTCATTTTACCTTTTCCTCGGATACTTCCAAAGATTTCAATATGTTACCAACAATGAATAACTCGTCCTCTCGTTCCATTATTTTTCTGTGAATCGAAATTAATAGCGTAACTGAAGAGAGTGAAACTTGTCAAAAATAATTTTCGATTTCATTCCCACATACGCCTCGCTCGATTTTACTCTCTCTTCGGCCGCTTCCAATTCATCCTCCACAAAAGCCAATTTCCTCGAGATCTCGTCCGACTTTGTATCAGCGTCTTCAGCAATTAGCCTCGCCTCTTTCAGCTGGGTCATCAATTGATCCATTCTCTCCTCGTCCTGTTTGCTTCTATTCTCCAAAACTTTGCAGATACTAAAAGGAAATAATTTACCACGAGCAAAATCTCAAACGTATATCACACTCTTCCCTTTTTCTCTTTTCGCATAGAACAAACCGTTTCGCATCCTCCGCGGTTTCCATCGCTTGCGCCAGTTTAGCTTGCGCCGTTAAACGACGTTCTTCTGATTTCTCCAAATTCTGCAAGCATTGCTGCATCTTTCTGTTCAAAACTGCCAACTCGGATTGCGTCTATCAATGGGACAAGAATCATTAAAATAAAATTATGTTTTTAAATAAATCAAAACTAGTTATTCTCTTACATGATCCCCTTACGAGTTACAAGCGTATCTTTATTGTCATTTTGATTTTTTAAATTATATATTGCAATCAGATAATGTTTCGTTAGTTAATTTAAGCAATGTTGCTAATCATTCAGCAGCATTTTTAAATATTATCCTTATCTTATATGACGAAGAAGGATACAAGAGAGTTATTTGAATATTAAAAAAAAAGGGAGTCACGATTGAAAAAAGGTTGGAAAATTATTCATCATAAAAATGTTATGAATATTGAATTATATATTTGTACAAATCACCAACCACAATATAGACCCTTTCTTTTTGCTCGAGGTCTCTATTCGACTTTTCCAATTGGGCTTTGCTCAATTCCAAGTCGCGTTCCATCTGCACCAATTTCTTTCCAAGTTCCCGAACCTCATCCCTCAGCTTTTCTTCTCGTCGATTCGCCTCCTTTGCTTGCTGATCGCATAGATCGGCCTTGTCCATCGCCAGATCCTTCTCGATCTTCAGCATTTGCAAGCGTTTCTTTATCGCGTTCATGACTTTGATGATCAATTTTTCGACGCGAAGCTACGTAAAAAAATTCGTACAAAATTTAATTTAATGAAAATGAAACAATATGTTATAATGAACTTTTTTAATTGTGTGATTAAGAGGTGACTTTTTTACATAAAACGTATAGAATATATGTATAACGAGTTTCCAAAAAATGTAGATCTTGGAAGATATTTCGCGAATCTTGTTTTTCAAAAATGATAAATATTTCAAAAAGGGAAGAATCGAAATTGTGATCATTTATCAAATGACGTTAGAATAATATTTAATATAAATGGAAATACGCATGAATCAATATTTTATAAAAGGAAAATTGAATATTGAACGTCAGCGATTTTTATCGCGTCAAAAACTCAAATATCAGAAACACTTTTTCGTTTTTTACACCAATTCATCATCATTGTAATGTAATTATTCGTTTCAAAGCACTTTCACACTTTTACTATTAAAGCAGAGAACAAATTCGAACAGAACGTTTTATCATATAAATATATTTTATTTCATTGCGTATTCGTGCAAAAAAAAAAATACGATCTTACGTATTAATTATTTTAAAAACAAAATTCGTGGAGATAAAATAATTCTTAGGTTTTTCAAAGCAAAGCTCGCGGGTTACTGCACTCGGTGACCGACGACGACAATGCTTTATAGACTCAAAGAAATGCAAAAGAACCTAATAGGCCATTTCTTTAGTTAGACGCAAACGAATTCCTCGACTTCTCTAGACGTTTATGTTCTTCCGATAGTTCGATTGACAGAAAGTTGTAGATTAAGAGAAATAAAGACAAAAAACGATATTAAAAAAAAAATTACTTCTTACCGCGTATGATTATAGATCATAGATAATAAATAAAGCTTACTCATTAAAAATAATAATAATAATAATAATGAAACTAATAAAATTAGTTTCTGTGAATTCATTTAAGGAAATTACAAAAAAAAATAAAAATAAAAATAATTGTCAAATAATATAGATATTTATAATATAAGTTGACTATAATTATTTTTATCATATATAAATTTGCTTATTTATTATATTTTTTGTTACATATATATATATAGAAAATGTATAAAAGTTAATATAATTCAAAAAATGATTAATGTAATTATTCATCAAAAGTCAAGAACAAAAATTTTTTTAAAACCTTTATTATTTATTTTTAAATTATTTTCAATACGATAGGTGTTATTTTGATTAAGCACGCTATAAACAACTTTTTTTTTTTAAATACCGTTTATTGAAAATACAGATTTGGCATACAATGATAAAAAGGGGATACGGTATTTGTGCTTGCTTTCATGTACAGCAATTCCTCCTCAATGTCTCTGAAAGAAAAATAGGTGATGCCGTTAATTCTATCGAAAAGAGACTATTTGTTTCTGAAGCAACTAAGCTCAATCATCTCTGGCTCTGAAGCTTTAGCAAAGTGTTAAGCTTGAAGCAAAGCGATTAACAAAAAAACTAGCTGTCTAATCACTTTCTAGTCGCCATATTATTAATTGCATAATAATAATTGTATTATGTTATAATTATTTGAAGCCCCATTCAAACGTTTTCTTTTTCACGGTACACTATACAACGAATACTTCAACGAATTAAATCAGCGTAGCTGAACACAGCCGACTGATGTCCATTATTAAATGTAGCGAATAAGCTTAGAATAGCAAAATAAAAGAAACTCCATCCGTTTCTGTAGTTTTAATATCCTGTCATTTCTGCGAACGTGGCATCCATGTCGTCACAGACCGCTTTGTATTTTTCTTTTTCTTCTCTGAGTTCATCTAAAACATTGAATTGTCATTGAAAAAAATCTTAATTTAAAAAAAAAAAAGAAAGAAAAATCAGAATTGAATTCTTATTTCAATATATTCGTACCTTCCTTCATGTCGACTTCCTTCAACAACTTTTTCACCGTTCTTTCAGCATGAATGGCACGTTTCTCAGCCTCCTCAATTTTTTTTTTAACTGTTTTAATTGTATTTTGAAGTCTTCCACTCGTGCATTAGCCTATAACAAATAAATTCAAAGGTAAAGGAATAAAAATTGATATAGGATTAATTGAATTTTACTATTTATTACTTCAAAATTTATATTTATCATTTTATAAATGATAATTATAATAATTACCTTTTCCTCGGATACTTCTAAAGATTTTACGATATTTTGCACGATAAAAAGCTCATCTTCCCGTTCTATGATTTTTCTGTAAACACATTTAAGAGTGTAAAAGAAAGATTTATAGAAGTTTTATAAGTTAAAAATATGTCATATAATTATACAAACGCCTCGCTGGTTTTCACTCTCTCCTCGGCTCCTTCCAATTCCTCTTCAACGAGTGCCAGTTTCTTCGATATTTCCTCAGATTTCGCGTCCGCATCTTCAGCAATTAATCTTGCATCTTTCAATTCTTGCATCAATTTTTCCATGCGCTCTTCGTCCAGCCGACTTCTGTCTTCCAATACTTTGCACATTCTGAGGAAAAACGTATCGATAAAGTGAAAACATATATCATCTCTACAATTTTTACGAATAAAATTTAAAATTTTAAAACATACTGAAATATATTTTGACCTGACGAAGTTAAAAAGAAAAAGAAAGATTCCAATATTTTATCTATCATATGAAATTCTTAATAAAAACCTTCGCGCATCGTCCGCAAGTTCTGATGCACGTCCAAGTTTCGTTTGAGCAGTGAGACGTAATTCCTCCTTCTTCGTTAACGTTGCTTCAATCTCTTGCACCCTCTTGGTCAACGTGGTTCGATCTTGCTCTGCCTGTTAACGTCATTCATCAAATATAAACAATATCTCAAAACTTTCGTAAATCTATTTGAAACACGTATTTACGCACCTTGGACCAAGATTTCTCGCATTGTTCCAAATCAGCGGTGGATTGCTCTAAATTCGCTTTGGCCACTTCGTAATCTCGTTCGAGCTGAGTGAGCTTTTTAGCCAGATCCCTTACGTCGTCGTTCAGCTTGTCCGCTCGAAAGTTCTCCGATCTCGCCTTCGCTTCATTTGCCTCTACTTTTTCATTAGCGGCATCCATCTCTTGCTTCAACGCCGCAATCTTCTTTTTAATCGCCTCCATGATGACGATTTATGCTTTTCTACCCCTTTTTTTTATCGTATATCCTTCGTCGACGATTTGTACCTAATCAATTCATTAGACTTATTAACAACGATTTAATAATTATTAGATCTGATCTGATGCAACGAATTTAATATATATTATTCTTTGATTCATAACATATAAGCGGTGTTACTTCTTGTATGTATGTTGGTCTGATTATAACCGCACTATATCTACTATAACTGAATCAATACACAAGATATACGTCTAAAATAATGATTAATAAATAGAAATCTTCAATTCTTTTGAGTAAAAGATAATGGAGGAACAACTTTGAGTTTGTTTTAATTTAACAGAATATCAAACGGATTTTTTACTTTAATCATTATTGTTCGACGATATACGAATGTTAAAAATGAGCGACCGAACGTTCGTTCGACTCGCAAATCATTGCTACTTACCGATATGTTACATTTAATAACAAACAACGTGGAAGAAAAGACAAGTTAGAGTTAAAAGGGGGACAACACTCACTGTTGTAATCGTGGCGATGATCCGCGATGAGAATGTACAACCGGATGCCTTCGAAAGCTAAGCTAAAATAAAACGAAACCGGCGTCGCAGGCCTCCTCGAACTTCTCGATCCAATCCAATTCTATAATTGCTTGTTGCCTTGTTGGCTATCGTCCCGATTTTATCCCGGCTCTTCACTGGCTGATTGCTACTCGCTACCAGTGGCTACCAACGAAACGCGATCTCCACCTCTCTTATGCTATTCTCGGCTCGAAAGAATTCCGTTCCTATTTCCTATCGGCTACGTAACCTAGTCTACATAAATACCATAGTAAGATAAACATTCTCCGATTTTCCGATATCTTGGAAAATTTCTAATTTCGCGCCGCGTTCTCCACTTTACCTTTCTGGTATTTAAATTTTCCCGCTTCTACCAGCTTCTCGATCTCTGTATCGAATCGATATCGATAGCGCACAACGACTACCAATGTACGTTAGAAACGCGGGAATTCTATCACGATAATTAAAAATGGACAATAATTGTTTCATGATAAAGATTATGAAGCAACATGGTTTTATTGACATTTCTTTCCGGTATAAAAGGAATAATTACACATATCGTTCAGCTAATGTATTTCTCATTCTTTGACGTTACAAATAAATGCGCAGCATATAAGTTTTTCTATTCAGAATTCATATTCGCTTCTATTCTTGGCTGAATTTTTTTTTTTTTTTTTTACAAAAGTATGGATAATAATAAATATAAATACATTCTATCAAGTGAATATACGATAAATAAAATTTAACGCAACTTTTCGACACTTTGCAATAATTAAATATTTTTCTTTGAATTTAATCCATAATGTAGAAATTTATTGAACTATTCTATATTACATTTTTTTTTTTTTTTTTTACTATTTTAAAAGTTTAAGATTTTTTTTTAAAACACTAATACATTACTTCCGCATTAATTTTGATTATAATTTGAAAGATATAATTTTCTAATGATATAGTTTATCAAGTTATTTTTTTTTTTTTTATAATCTATGTAATATATTTTAGCAAATTTTAAGCAAATTTACAGATCAAGTTAAAAAAGAGAAATTTTGTGTAACATCGAAGGTAGTATAAAAGCTAGAAAATTTTAAATATTATTAATCACAACAAAATCATATTTCTATTTTTACAAAATATAAATAACAACAACTTATTGATATTATATTTACCATATTTTTCAATTTTCTATTCTGCAAAATGTCCTTGTTGCGCATAATGTCATATTGTTATATTTAATCTTAAATGTAATTATTTAACGGTTTCTATGTTGTACCAAGCAAAAGCTATAAAACACAAATACTATCAGATGAATTGAATGTATTTTTTACATTTACTCTGTAACAGTAAAATTGTTTTTTCTTAAATAAATATACATATATGCTGTATAATTAACAATACTGAGCAATAACAGATTTTTAAAAGCAAATGTTTGTTCGTAATTCAGCATATACATAATAAGAAAACAATTCCTTACAATTCTTTACATTAAAAATATTAAAAAGTTTTATATTTCAAACTTGTAAATATAAAATGAACACAGCGCATAAAAATGTAAACCTGAGAACATGAAATTCAAAAAATAATTCGATGATTCGAGAATATATAATTGTACAATATTATATTAAATTTTCATCGTATAATAAATGCGTAAAAATAGAACACAGAGATAACCAAAATATCTTAGATACAGTTTACAAATGAGAATTAATTTTTAAGATATGAATTAGAGACATTACTTTTGTGATATTTTTACATTTTACACGTGTCATATTCAATTATTTCCATACATTTAAGATTTGTATCAAACATTATTTATGTAAGATAAGAATACAAATCATCTTCTACAAACCATCTTAACAGACTATACATAAGCAGTGACCACTGGATAAAGTTAATGCATAATAGATATGTTCAAAGAATTGTTTTCTATGAACAACAAATTTGACTTATTTTTAATAACATACATTCACGCGCGTTGTACATGAATAGTATATCTTGTGAAATATTGTTGTGCCTATAAAATATGAATAATCTTATCCATTATCATTATTCAAAATTCATTGTCACTATTTGAGATTGTTTTGAACAGTGATCCTTCATATTTTAAATGTCGTTACGAAAAAATTACTTTCACACGCAGCGA